TCCATCTCGGCCGTTTTATCCGACCTGGCGGACTTGCGGAGCTGCGATGGCCAAGCCTTACCGCCGCAGGACCCCGACAGTAATTTATCAATCAGTTGCGGCCATTCCAGAGGACTTTTTAGTCACATGCAGCAGCATGACATTTTAGACATCCTGTGCAGGACCATTGAGTCTACGATTCACGTGGTCACACGGATATCCGGGAAAGGAAACCAAGCTGCTTCTTGACATTAGATGGAGCATGTCTGCTTTTAAGTCTTCTTTTTTTTTTTTTAAAAAGAATCCTTCTTCCCCCAAAAAATGCTGTTTGTATAAGTTTTGCTTATTTCTGTTTTGTGCTTCAGTTTGTCCAGTGCTCTCTGCTTGAATGGCAAGATAGATTTATATGCTTAATTCTTGGTCAGGCAGAACTCGAGATTATTTTTTTTAAATTTTATTTTATTTTGCATCTACCGTACACTTTCTTAAAGGGCAATCAGATAATGGCTATGTTTTATGTAATTAAGAGTTCACTGTAGTGGCTTTCATTTAATATGGCTGTCTGGGAGACAGGGCCTCCTGGCCCTGTATGATGTAATTTAAACTTATGGCATTTTTACTGTGTATAATATGGTGTCCTCTGTGCCAGTTTTGTACCTTATAATCGAGGCAGATTGCCTCAGATCGCTGTGGTTCTTATTATCAAAATTAAGTTTACTTGTATACTAAACAACCACAAGAAATTTGATTCTGTAAAGAATCCTCTTTAGCTGTGGCCTGGCAGTATATATATGGTGCTTTATTTAACAGAATACCTGTGGAGGAAATAAAGCACACTTGATGTAAAATTAATTGTTTTATTTTTATTGACATGATCAATTGCTATTCTGTGCACTTCATTAAACTGATTGTGATGACTTTTCATTGGTTTATAATATGTTGCTTCAGTCTTTGGATTTCTCAGCAAAGAACTCCGTAAGTGGCACGGCAGCAGAGAGAAATGATGGGCAGAGTTGAGAATTGGTGGAGATTTTGGTGCTTGTTTAGTGTGCAGTGTTCAGCCTCACAGTGGGCAGGGCCTGGTGCTTGTGTTGGAACCGAAGTGCTGTGAAAAGCCAGGGGCTCTTGGCATCTCATTTCCCTTGTGTTCACATCTCTGATACAATTTCTCTCCTGCGCCATTTACAGAGCTCCTCCTTTTTCCCCTCTGCTCTCTCTGGCTGTGCCCTTCACTTTCTGACAGCTTCTGCGCCCCTGGAATGACTTTATCATCCCTCCCGTTATACCTCCTCCTGTTAGTTCTGAGTAATGCCAGTTTCCTGTGTGACCTTTTGGACTGTCAATGCTGCTGGTTCCAATATCTGATTAAACTCCATTTTCAGCTTCATTTTCCAGTTGCTCATTTGTTTTTCTATTGTCTTCATCTGCCTTGGTCTTTTTTCTTCAGAGTTCTTTCTTTCCATCTACCCTTCACTGCAGTTTTGCATCACTTGCTTCTCCATGAGTCTGTGATGCTCTTGCTCCCTTTGAATTTACTCTCATTGGTTTCAGTGTTCTGTAATTAATTTGTCTTTAAAGTTTACAAATTTATCTTTCTGTTTATTTAGCATTTTTATCCTGAGTTTACAGACACTGCTGACAGTGGTAAGTGCTTAAGTTGGTATCCTCATTATTCAGACATTAAATAATTATGGTTTTGTTATCTTTAGGAATAATTTTTTTCCTTTTTTCTGATTAGCTTTCTCCAGAATGTAACTCCAGAGAAATCATCAACAGCTTCTAGTCAGTCAAGACTTCTACAATCAGAATTTTTCTGTCAAGGGAAACATTGGCCTATGGATGGAAACCTGAGCTGCAACAGCTGTTGGGACTCCTCTGGGTGAGTGGTTTTCTTAATTAATCAGCCTTATTAACACTTGTGGTGGTTTCACAGGAAATAGGATTTCTGGGGTGTGCTGTGGTCATCAGTAGATGTTCAGATTTTAATATTGGCACCTGGTGTGGCCACTGGGGACGTTTGGACGCCTCTGAGAACACCCAGGGGTTGAAAAGCAAAGCACTTGCGGAGGAAGCTCTCTGTGAATTTCGAGTGGGAAGAGTTGGAGGGGAAAGCCATGGGAGAGGTGGGCCTGGCCCCGAGGGTGGGAGAGAGAGAGACCCCAGGAGCTGTGGGACAGCCCCCAGCCCCAGAGAGAGAGAGAGGGTGAGCGTGCCTGGGGCTCTTATCTTGGAATTTGATATCAGGTGCTGCTGTGAGAGCTTTTAACCCTTTGTGGACAATGAAAACTTCACAGAACATTAACCCTTCCCTTTACAGAACATTAACCCTTTCTAGAAGCGAGATAAGAGTAGAGGATGAAGAAGGAAATGGGCCAGTGCTGAGGGTCTGGGCAAGTGAGAGAGAGATGTTGGAGGAATGGAGAAGATGCAGTGGCATTTTTGCTGGACTCTGTTTTGTGTATTCATGGACTGTTTCCTGTGACACAGAGACTGCATTCCAGGGGCAGGCAGTGCCTCAGAAGCAGGAGGGGTCAGTGTGGGCACCCCTCGGCCCCAGGGGGACACAGAGAGACCGTGCCTTTCTCTCTCTCATCGTGGGACGATGCATCCCTGCAGAGACAGCCCTGGAAGCTGCCCTGGCCCAGGCAGTGCTGAGAGCCCTGGCTGTGCAAGGAAGGTGTCACAAGGGCAAAAGGATCTCCGGGCGGTGCCACGTGTGACGAGAAGCCCATGGCACAAGGAAGGACTCCTGCTCTTGATGAACTGAGGATTTGATTATCCAAAGGGTGGTGCCCGGCCAAGAGTTGGTGATTTGGGAAATGTAAATGTATTGGGAATTTGGTGGGGAGGAGCAGGAGGAGATGTCTCTGTGCAGTTTTCATTTTCTGTGGGGTTTTTTTTTCCTTCTTTGTAGCTTTTTAATAAAGTTGTTTTTTTTTTTTTTTTTTAATAAAGTTTTTCTTTCCCCTAAGTAGGAGCCTGCTTTGCTTATTTCTGGTCACCAGGGAGAGGGTGTTCTCATGGGGGCACTGGCATTGTGCCAGTGTCAAACCATGGCAGCTGTGCACTTGGGATGGTGTCTGAGCTGCTGCCTGTTGCTTTATCATTTCATAAAGGATACACAAATACTGCACCATTAATCATGTCAGGATTAACAGAAATATGATTATTCTTATTTCTCTTCCTTTACGTCCTAATTTCCCCCTTGAGTATTCCTGCAATTTTTACAAAGACCTTTTTTACAGTAGAGTTTTTTGAGCAGAAGTAAACAATACCTGCATAAAGGTGTGGTCATTTGCCAGAGCCTTTTTCCAGGTCTTTGGCCTCTGTCTCCCTCACCTTTTGTGCTCTGTCATTATTTCTATTCTAGTCTAGTCTAGTCTATTCTATTCTGTTCCCCATCTATTTATTTTCTGATATTCTATTCTATTCTAGTCTAGTCTAGTCTAGTCTAGTCTAGTCTATTCTAATGATTTCCCTTCAATTTATTTTCTGATTTTCTATTCTATTCTATTCTATTCTATTCTATTCTATTCTATTCTATTCTATTCTATTCTATTCTATTCTATTCTA